GCATTAGAAAGCGCTACGGACCCGCTTCAGCCGCTGCAATGTTTTTAGCGGGGGCAACAAACGCCGCTACTCATTCGTTTAAGGATAAATACCTGATCTGTACACAACATGTACATAATTTACATACTGAAATCAAGTAACTAATAGTGTGCCAACCTTTTGCAGCCTCATTTTCGAGTGCTTGTATTAAAAGTTCCTCAATATTGCGCTAATTAGGCTGTAATTTGATTGCTAGATCAAGCGCACTGAGCACGCTAATTGGTCCAAGTTTGGGCACCGAGCTTAAAATTTTGAGTAAGTTATGGGGAGAAACAGGGTGTGTGCCAACCTTTTGGCCAGGTCTGTACTGTCTGGGGCAGACAGCTCCCCAACTTTCTCCCCCCTCTAAATCGATAAAGCAGTATTTTCTATGCTCCAATACAATATAAATTACGGAAATATGTATTATTTTTTGTCAAATAATTGTTATATTTATTAGGGCTCGACAGTGATCATAATCCAATATTATACGGTGTTGGCGGACCTCGAGGGTACGCAGCACTCTGAAACGTCCACCACACCCGCGCTGTCCTTCTTCATATCCTACTCCAACGCGAGCACTTGTCGCCCACCAGGGCAGCATCCTCACCCTGAATGAAGTTGCTGCACCACACGATACATAATATCCTTTTCGGCTCGTTTACTTCACAGGTGTTCCGTGGCGGTAGAATCGACTTCCCTTCTCCTGGGTGATGCCCCGCCGCCCAGTAGATGGGAAGTTGATTCTACCGATGCCCCCAAAGCCATGGGAATATTGCTTTCTGTCGAACTGGGTAGGCAGATCGGAGCGTGTAAGTGCATACGAGTAGAGTAGACTACGGAAAGAACGCTTCGCTTCCGCGGAGAATGTTTGGGATTGAGGGGGGAAAAACCTCGAAGGTGACAACCCCCTCTTGGTTACACAAGTAATACACAACTAACGGCTCACTGGACAAACTACAGTTTGTATGGCGGCAGGGTGCAGAGGCGTTCAACGTCAACGACGTTGAGCTGGCGGAGCTCGACACGCCATCTCCACACTCCTACTTCGAGTACGCCACACTCTGTCGTCCACTAGCACGCACACAAGGCTTGACCGTCAGCTTCGCCACTTGTAATGGCGATCGGCACCGGCATCAAGTTGAGCGGCTGCCGAAACTTGTTAAACAGCGTAGGACCCTAAGGCTTCGTGAAGATATCGGCCAGCATGTCCTTCGAAGGACAGTAGAGCACCTTGAACTCGCTACGCTCGTGGTAGTCCCTGACCTTGTGGTACTTGAGGTCCACGCCCTTGGTCTTGTAGTTGCCTTTGATCTCGGTCAGCACGACGATAGCAGCCTGGTTGTCTTGGTATAGGATGGTAGGCTGGTGGCGCGGGAGCTCCAAATCCTTGCACAAATTGTGCACCCACACGATCATGATGGAGCACTCGCTCGCAGCGACAAACTCCGCGCAACACGTATCATCAGTCACAATTCGCTGTCTGCGTGACTTGTACGCGAACGTGCACCCATTTAGCTGAAGCACGCAGCCAGTGATCGAGTAGCGACCATCCATCTCAATACCAAGCTCTGCATCTGCGTAGGCCACCAAATGCAGGTCGGGTGTCTCCACCTTCTCCCACGCTAGTCCATAGTCAGTGGTCCCTCGCAGATACCGCAGCACGTGCTTCGCCACCACGTAGTTCTCGTGCGTGTACTTGTCCAAGTACTTGGCGAGTGTAACAGGGTTACACGCACAAGTGGCTACAGTCACTTGTAACTCTAACAGACACGACGTCTGTTAGAGGTTCGAAAGACTTTCACGACCTTGGTGTAGACACACCAAAGGCTACATACATTTACGACCACCACAACGGGTGGTCCATAGAGACTTAGGATTCCTATCGGCTGAGAGCAGCATCTTTTAGCCAATGAGCGACATGCATAGCATTGGAATTCTGCCAATCAGCCGTTGGCAGATTCCTATCTTAGAATATCACATTTAGAGGAAGTCAGAAACATAAAACAAAAATGGCAGTTCTCATTTTAACCCAAAACATTATTTGGATCGTTTATTTAAATTAATCTATACTCGGAGGCCCGAGTATAATTAACTCTAATTTAAACTAAGCTACGCTTCCTCACATACACGCGCACACGTGTAAGCTAAAGTAGTGAGCCAAAGTAGGCCCATTACACCTGGATGCACTTTGTAGTCCGTCCAACGACCGACTACCTGAGCTCGTACGTCACCGCACGAACGCGGAGCTGAGAACCTTCCCATGGATACAGAGGTGCCCATGGAAAGCTCCACTACGCCTGCAACTCACGTTGCACGCGCTGACTGTCCCCACCCGTCGGATCCAGAGTGGGAGGCCCTCCAACGACTGTCAACAGTCATTGGTGAGGCGGCTGTAGCTACGATGCTGCGTACGCTAACACCGACAGAGCAACACGGTGTTGCTCTGGGTTTCATCCTGAAGGAGCAACGCGATGTTGCTACTACTTCCGCGGTGTCGTCCGGGACGACACAACGCGCGCAATCGCTGAAGCTCAATGTGAGCAACTATGTC